GAATTCTGGGAGTTGAAGTCCACACATCTTCAAGTCGCCAAGGTTGAGGAACCCTGTATTATTGCACTGTTCCATCAGTGAACTTGTAAGTCAAACAAAAACACCCACCTTTTCATCCTTCCACTGGTGAACTGGTTATAAAACAAATGGACATGGAGGCAACATCCAGAGAATTCCATTTTTAAAACTTTATTTTAGTTACATTTTCATAATAAATGTAAATTATAATTGAATTCTTTTAAGCTGAAGCCTTGTGGCAAAATAGCCCATCATCCATATTTTTAAATATATCAACCAGCCATACTTTGACTTGATGATATTAGGACAAACTGAGTCATACATAATACCTGTTATGTTCCTAAAATAACAACATGACTTTATATATGGAAAGGGTGTTAAAAAAAAAAATAGGTATCTTTTTTCCCCAGTTTTGGAGTTTCTTCCTAGTCTCCCCCCCCCCCCCCCCCACTTCCCAATTGAGATTCTTTTTTTCCCTCTGGAATTTCTTTAAATGTTACACATATAAATAGGCTACATAGCTGTCCTATTATAGCTGTCGGTTTCTGTAATGTTCTCATTTAATCAGAAAGAAATTTTATCTGTCCCATTCCTATATCATGTTGAGAATGCTTTTTGTACAGAATGTCATATGCATGGTTATGTGCAAGACAATGTGTCAATGTGTATTCTTCTTATATACCTTTCAAGGTAATTTCTTCTAAAATGTGCTTTTCATATGCAAAATTCCTTAATGTTTGCATATGAAAAAATGTATGCATTTTCCCTTATATATCTATTTCTGTTTCTACTTGTCGGTCAAAAAACTACCTTGCTAAATTTGGAGAAATCCAAAAATCGGTGGATAATCACATTCTGGGTCATGTGTTATTTCAGGAAGTATGAAATAGATACTTTGGAGTTCTGTTGATGTGTAATCAGTATAGGGCAGTGGACTCAAAAGGAAAATAATAAATATTCCTATAAAAATAGAACAGGAAATGCATTTAAAAAAAGAAGATAGTTGATATGCTTCTAGAACAGTGTTTCTCAATCTTGGCAAGTTTAAGATGTGTGGACTTCAACTCCCAGAATTCAACTCCCAGAATCAGCAACTGACTGATGAATTCTGGGAGCTGAAGTCCACAGATCCTAAAGTTGCCAAGTTTGAGAAACACTGTTCTAGAAGAAAAGTCAAGACCAGATCTACCACTAGGGAGAAAGAGGCAGTCAACATAAGCAGCAGATGCTAAGGCTCAGGAAATGATAAAGTGATAGGCCTGCCACATTACTTAGCGTGTATTCAAATACTAGCATCTTGCTATGGAGGAAACGGCATTATTGCCGGTGTTGAAATAAGATTGAACAAACAGTTTGGTCAATTTTCTGATATGGAATAAGGGCAGTGCTTCCTTGTCCTCTAACGCAGACAGCAAAATATCTTGAATGACATTAATTACACAGAGGGTGCACATGCAATAGGTAAAAGGGATAAAATATAGTCTCAGCATTGTTTTTAAGTGGATGTCCACCACATTCACACAATCGAATATTAAATTTTGAAATAGGGGTCTAGTGGACAAGTGTAATTTCTGAACTGAATTATCTGCAATTTGTCTGGACTTGCAACCTAGCTTAAATTCATTTAAAGTGCTTTTATTACAATTAGCCTGAGTTATGTGCAGCTCCTGACAATAATTAAACATTGGTGGTACTCCCCTTCCCACAAACTTAACAACAAAGCTCAAAAATGGATCACCAAAATCTCAGGATGTTTTGCTCCTCATTCCTTCAAAAAACGTGTCTCAAAAAGCATGTGCTTATAGCAATGTTATAATCCTTGCCTTTTCATGGATAACTCCAGCTATCCCATCTTTGCCCCTTGCTGTGTGCTGGGAATCACCTAGCAAAAATCTATCTATCTGTCTGTCTGCTGTCTGTCTGTCTGTCTGTCTGTCTG